CTCTGGTGTAACCAAATACGTGGGGGTGGCAGCTCACAGTGCTGGTGTGTGTATTTTGTAATAACTAAATATTATACATGCCAAATCATATTTCCCTTCATACAACAATACAACAATATTTCATTGGTGTAAATCATAATCATACATAACAAGGTGAAGCCTTTGGTGTCAGGAACAGTTGCTTGATGTCAAAAGTACGCTGATACAAGGTGGGCTGGTTATGAATCTCAAGTGGAGGCTCCAAAATCCATTTGACCCAGCCCATCAGGACTGTCCAGCAAAGAGAAGGTTCCGTTGTGGGATCTGATCCTCTAGAATCACAGCTCAGGAGACGCCCTGTCAGAGTAGACAGAATGCCACAAGCATTCAACTGGTGTCTGCGACAGAATGCCTGGGTTTACCGAGTCCAATCATGTTAAATTAATAATTGATACTTTTTATTGCATTTGCAAGAAACACTGCATAGAGATTGTTGGTCACTTGATTCCTCATCAGTAAAACTCAAATTTTGGAATCATTCGTGCAAGTGGCTGGGGGCAGTGTGAAGAGCATTTGGAGCAAGGGAGGAGCCCGGGCTGCGGATTGAGTGCGGCAGATGCCTGAGGCCAGGGAGCTGAGAACAGCCCCAGCGAGCCGCAGCGCTCCGGGGACAGCCCCGGCACCCCGGCCGCGGCTCCGGAGTGTCCGCGGTACCCGCAGGGCGCTGCTCAGAAACAGAACAGCAGAATCACAAATCTGCCCCTTCAGTCCAATCTCCCGTTTTAGAGAGACACCAGTACACCAACAGCGCGCACACAAACATCTCTGCTGTTCTCACGGCACAGTGCCTCCGGCACTCCAGGTTTTGGAGGTTATCCTAAAATATTTGTGGGGGTGTGGTGTCAGAGCCATCCTGCAGCAGAGGTCTTTGCAGTGCCACGCACGCCACCAAATGCTGATGGGATTTTTAACACTGTAGCCAGTTTAACAGTTTAACAGCATTGGCCTCAGTGCTGAGGTGTCTGCGTGCCCAAAGGAAATGATACCCGGAAGGTGGACACGGTGTAAAAAAGCATCCCAAGCAGCTGGCAGCCAGCAGGTTACTCCAGGTTGTTTTAAAAAATAACAGAGCAGCACAAGGAGGTTTGCATGTTCTTGCCATGTCACAGAATGTGCTTTAGGGGATATTTTTTTGAGACACTTCCTCCTCACTGGTTACGTCGGGTATGGCCTGATGGTGACTTAATCTGCACTTTTACCTTCCCGTTCTCATGGGACACCAACCTGCAGGGCCCTCCTTGTACCATGTACAGGACTTCCTGAATAACTCACTTCAATCCCTTAGAGAAATAGAGGGAAGATTGTGTAGCTGCAGTTCTTAGTTAGCAAAGGAAGTTCTTTTTGCCTGATTCTAAATGTGGATATCTATCTGTGCAACAGTTCATGAGCTAGCTCATCACTCTCCTATTATTATATACACTAAATAAGTAATTATTGGAAATCTCATTGCCTAATTATAACAAATCAAAATGGACTAAGCATCTGGAATCAGTGTGATTGCTTCTCCTCGACCAGACTAATCTTGCCCTAGAAGACTGCATATAGCTAATTTAGCATAGACACACTCAAGAAAAGGAATGATAATCAGCCAGCAACTGCATCAGTTCTCTCCGCACAGCTCCAACCACTGAGGAAAACAATGCAACAACACGGGTTGCAAATTTTGATTTGTTGTTTTATTTGGTCTTAAAATGATTTGGCTCTTTGTCCAATACTTCTAAGGACTCTCTGTGTTAGAAAAGATGTATTGCTGAAACAACAGACTACTTTCAGCTGGGAAGGCACTGGAACTCCCCTGAGCACAGCTGTTTGCAAATTGCTCTCGAGCTTTGGGAGTTTTGGGGCAGACACTGGACCTGACATAAAATTGCATTTTCCTTGGGTGCAAGAAATGCAAAGACTGTGTTTCCACCTTGTTTTCTGTCTCCTTTGTTTTCTGTAGGAAGTACTGAGCCAGGAATCATTGTCATGCTCCTCACTTTTGTTCTCTAACTGCAAAACTATCCTTTGCCTAATATCAAAGAGAAACTAGCAAAACAAGAATTACAAGTTTTATGAAGATACAGCAAGCCAAATTAATTCTTGAGGCAAGTACACAAACTAAATGCTGTTGAAAGACTCTTACTATCTGCTGGGGGAGAATTTCCTCCATTATAATGAAACATAGCTAAAAATATCTTGTATTATAAGAACACTGGAGCTGAACGTGAGGCAGTGCACTTAGAGAGGATGATTAATTGGTGTGTCACCAGCACTAACACTTCTTGAGTAAAGCATTTGCACTCACTGCTGCACCCTGCTTCCACTTCAACTAAGGGAGAGTCCAGGGGATGTTGTGAAGTTCTTTTAGATAGACTTTTGATTTGCTCAGGGCAATTTATCAGCTGTATCATTCACAAAAACTTTTTATGACAGCAAGTCTACAGGTGCCACCAAGATTAAGCTTGGAGTTTCCTGGGGTCATGGGCAGTTCCAGAAGTACAAGAAGCAAAACACAAGAAGAAGTCAGAAAAGTTTTATTACAAGAGGTTTGTCAGTCTGAAATTCCTGAGACCTATTACAAAGACTCAGAGAGAAACCAGGTTTTATTACTTCAGAAAAAGTAAAGATTTCATTAAAAAAATGATGATATATGATTTTGTTTCTGCAGCCTTTGTGAGTGACATTGATTTGTTGCTTGGGTTTTTCAAGCAATAAAAAAAAAAAAATATTTATAAGTTCTGAGCACTTTCTTAGCTCCACACTATTTTTCTTCCCTTTATCACCTGAAAACAGCAGTAACTGATTGAAACGAATAGTGGGACTACTTGTGAACAGGATTGTAATGTATCCAAGGCAACCAAAGGCCATGAAAATTATGCTGGATTAGGATTATGACAGTAAAGATTTAAAAAATAATTAATGGGAAGAAATGCTGTTACTGGGGAAAATTTTATTCTGAGTTCAAAGCCCGTTGGTGACACTTAAGTTTTACTGAGAGGTTCATCCCCTTTTCACAACTCGGGATGGGTTTAGGTCTGTAGAAAATAGAGCATGTTTTTATAAACCACACCACACAGACACGCAAACACAGCACTCAAAACACAAATAAACCCAAGTCCATCTTAAATGAGATGCACTTAACAGGGAGGAAAAGACACACGTTGTTACTCATAGTCTAATTAAAGAAACTTAACAGTGCCATAGTATTAGATTTACAGCTTGAGGAAAGGTCAATCCAAAGTGCCTCTCACACATTTCATTCCTGAGCCCAGGGGCTCGGTGAGGGTTTCTTGTACCTGAGGAGCAGGAAGGGAAAGACATTTAAACAGAACAATGACAACTAATTGTGGGCAACGCTAGTGCGTTGTACTTGCTGCACTATCCACGTAGGAGTGCATTTGGGGTAATAGCTGGCCAATATTTCGTTTACAAACTTCCCAGGCAAAAAGGATAAGATTTATGTAAAACATCCTCTGAGCTTCGCGAACGCATACAGGCCAAGAGCAAACTCTGTTCAGCAGCTCCAAGAACTTTTTCCCCTGCGGTCTCTGGGCTGTCGCGCGTGGAAGCCCCGCGCGGTGCCGAGCGGAGCCCCGGGCGGTGCGGGAGCCCCGGCGGTGCCGAGCGGAGCCCCGGCGGTGCCGAGCGGAGCCCCGCGCGGTGCGGGAGCTCCGGGCGCTGCGGGAGCCCCGCGCGGTGCCGAGCGGAGCCCCGGGCGCTGCGGGAGCCCCGCGCGGTGCCGAGCGGAGCCCCGGGCGGTGCAGAAGCCCCGCGCGGTGCCGAGCGGAGCCCCGCGCGGTGCCGAGCGGAGCCCCGGGCGGTGCGGGAGCCCCGGCGGTGCGGGAGCCCCGGCGGTGCGGGAGCCCCGCGCGGTGCCGAGCGGAGCCCCGGCGGTGCCGAGCGGAGCCCCGCGCGGTGCGGGAGCTCCGGGCGCTGCGGGAGCCCCGCGCGGTGCCGAGCGGAGCCCCGCGCGGTGCGGGAGCCCCGGCGGTGCGGGAGCCCCGCGCGGTGCCGAGCGGAGCCCCGGGCACTGCGGGAGCCCCGGGCGCTGCAGAAGCCCCGCGCGGTGCCGAGCGGAGCCCCGGGCGCTGCGGGAGCCCCGGGCGGTGCAGAAGCCCCGCGCGGTGCCGAGCGGAGCCCCGGGCGCTGCGGGAGCCCCGCGCGGTGCCGAGCGGAGCCCCGCGCGGTGCCGAGCGGAGCCCCGGGCGCCCTCACGGCCCCGCGTCCTCCATTTCCTGCGCCGCGGCGGCGCCCGCGCCCTGCCAAGATGGCGGCGGCGCCTGAGGGCGGGATGCGGCCGCTGCCCGCTCCCCCCGGCCTATGCCGGTCCCCAGGGCCGCTCCAGCCCCGACCCGCACCGGGGGCTGTGTCGAGTGCCAAACCGGCGCCTGGCGGTGTCCGGGCAGGGCGGCGCGGGGAGCGGGATGGAGGTTGAGGGAGTCCTAGCTGGAGGAGGCTGCGGGGGGACGGGGAGGCGGCAAGTCCCGGGCAGGTCCCGCTGGGGCGCGCGGGCTTTTCCCCTGGAGGCTTTGGGCTGCCCGGCTCGGCGCGGGGATCTGTGCGACAGAGGAGCGGGGCTGAGCGCGGCTCCTCGGTACAACATGGAGTCACCGCGGGGAGAGGAGTGGACTAGGCCAGGCCGGGCCGGGCAGCAACAGGCAGGGAGTGAGGCGGGTAAGGAGTCCAACGCTCCCACCAGCCGCTCAGGTGTGTGTAGTAGTGCGCCGCCGCCGCCAAGGCTGCGTTGTGCCCGGGCTGCGCTCTGCGCGACACGGACAGACGCGGGCGGTGAGTCACGGGGAAACAGCGCGAACCCCGAGCCGCCATGACCTCCCCGCCCGCCCCCGGCCAGCGCGCGGGAGGCGCGCTCCGCCCACCCCGCGGCCGCCACGGCTGGGTGTCCCCGTCCTCCGCTCCCATTGGCGGGTCCGCAACGGCGCTGTGCGCCCATTGGCCGAGGCGGCTCCGGCGAGCCGTGCGCACAGCGGCGGGGCGGGGTGAGCCGACGGGCCGTGTGCACACCGCGTGTGGCGCAGGCAGCGGGACCGGTGGGGCCGAGCGAGCGAGCGGACCTGAGGCGTGCGGGGGCCGCGGCCGCGGGGAGCCGGACTGCAGGTACCGCCGAGGGGCCGCGAGAGGACCTCAGGGGAGCGGCCGGGTGTCCCGCGGGGTCCCGAGGCGGCAGCGAGGGCGCTGCGCGGGACGGCGATGGCGCTGGCGCACTCTGGCCTAGCGCGCGGGAAAGTACGGCGGGGCGGGCGCCGGCGCCATTGCCGGCCGTACGGCGTGCCGGGGTGGCCGTGAAAGCCGCTAGAGCCGTGAGGGCGGCGGGCGGCGGCCGGTGAGTCAGGTCTGTGTTCCGGGAGCGCGCAGGGAGCCTGCGCCGCTCGGGGGAGGGAGGCCGGGGCGCTGGGTGAGGGGGGAGCCGCTTTGCTCGGCCCGGGCGCGGCCCGCAGGGCCCTCACGCTCGGTCTCTTGGCCGGGGGTGGTGGGCGGCGGGGCCGGGGCAGCGCTGCACGTGGCCGCCTGGGCGTGGGGAGGGGGAGCCCGGCCGGCCCGCCCGTGAGCCAGCGAGTTTGGGGTAAAAAACGTCCTGTGAGTCTGGAAACTGCGGAGAACGGCCTGTAATTCAAACCTTTCTGTTATTGTAAAAATCGTTATTTTTCTTTTTTTAATTGGATTTTGAGTCCCCGCTGAAGTCCCGTCGGCGGGGCCGAGCGGGGCCGCGGCCCGCGCACCACGTGGTTCCCCACGTGTGGGGCGCTGCCGGAGACGGAGGGTCGAGGTGTCGCAACTGTTTGCTCCTGCCACAGGCACGGATGGCCTGCTCTAAATCCAAATGTGACCTATAAATGGATAGGAAAATTAGTCTGTGCCATCTGCAGATCGCGGGCTGTGGGGCGGACTTTTATTTGAGTTCCTGTCTGGCGTAGTTCTCAAGTAACTGCTGTTAGTCATTTAGGAGCCGGTATTATCACAACGCTTATTAAACCTAATAGTGAGTTCTGATTTCCTGTGTGCACACAACGTGATCCCATTGCCACGCAGCGTTGGGGTTGCCTCGTCCGTGGTTCCTTCTTCAGTGCAGACTTGCTTAAAGTAGCAATCCTGCATCCGTCCTCAAAAGTGAAGAGGTTAAATAGGTTCACTAGGGCTTTGCAATACTCCTGAGAGTTACAGATTTAACCTGCCATTTTAACTAACTTTGTTAATGTCTGGGCTGAATGTTATGTTTAAAGCCTCTCATGTTGCTCATGGTGTTTAAGTTTAAAATTTCATACAGATAGGCGTAAAAATTAAAGGGGAAGATGATAAAATGTGCATATTTGTTCAATATAATTTATCTCTTTCCATATTAACTAGTATGGATAGGCAGAAAGTGCTACTGAGTCACTCCTTGATGAACTTTTGCTCTCTTTCTTGTTTGTGTCAACAGAGATATCTAAGAATTACTGGTCTAAGTGGAGTCATGATGTCCTTTTGGCCTGGTTTCTGTCCGCTCTTGAATCTTAGTTAATGTTCAGCAGTCCTGGGTCAGCTTGGCTGTGAAATGTATTGAGGGGTCCCAAGTGGAGCATAGAGATTCGTTTTTTCCTTCAGCAGGTTTCCTTGAATTTTCATACTAGTTTATTTCAGAATGGAGGTCCTATTACCTACTGGTCAGAATACTTAACTTTGTATCTTGTTCTAGTGAGAACAGAAGAGGAAGACGGGAGCATCACTAACTCTGCTGTAGCAGGTTTTCGGGTTACAACATGGAAATAAACTGCTAAATACTGAGTGGCTTTGGTGACAGTCATGTGTCCTGTGTTCAAGAATTATTACAACACATTGCTTAGGAAATAAACTTCACAGATGGTATATCTTGTAAAATGAGTAATACTTTGACTTCTCTTTTGAAATGAAATGCTAGCTTATGATTAGCAGGCCTTTCTGGCTCTTCAGTGCTCCAGAGGACAGCAGGGCTGTACTTCCTGTCACATTGGGGTTTCATCATGCTCAGCTCTGGCTTGTCCAGTTCAGGTGTGGTGCTGTGGGTTGGTCACAGCAGCCTGGGAAGGTCCTGCTGATTTCCCAACGGTGCCTCTGCTAGAGCTGCCTGGCTGGAGGCTTTGCATGTGCTGGCTGGAGCAGTGGCTTTTATCTGCTCTGTGCTTTGGCTGAAGGAGTGAAGTTCTGCTGATACCGGCTGCAGGTGCTGTTTGTAAGTCAAAAGAAGCACTGGGGTAGAGTGAAGGGAGTTGCTCATGTTCTGTTGGGCTGTTGGATCCTAAGGAACTGCTGGTATCCAGAACAATCCTGAGTAATCTCAGAGGTGAAGTTCAGCTTCCTTTTACTATGAGGACCCAAGTTGGTTGTATTTTAGTTTGTTAAAACAACTTATTTGGAGGGCATGTAGGCTAAAAGCCATATAAAATGAAGAGTCTTACAGTGGAGCTTTGTGGCAGTGTTTTACATCATCAGGTCGAGAAGGGCTACGAAAACAGGGGTGAATATTGCTGAATCTTATGCGTGAAGGCTGGAGATTAGCACCTCTCCTGTTCTCAGAGTCTTGAATATGTATTAACTGCAAAGCCACAGAAAAACAGGATGAGACAGGAAACTTCTTGTGTCAGAGGTGTCTCCTGCAAGTAGGAGAATCATCATGTTTCAGGTTCCAGCTGCAGTTACAGAGGTCGTTAGGAGTTCAGGTAAATAAGTGCCTTCTCCCTTTTGTAGAAAGGTAAGGTTTGAGGTGAGAAAGCACAACTAGACTTGAGTTTTTTGACTAGTTTTGGAAGCTAATCCAGGAGGCAGTGCCTTGCTGTATTTGACCTGTCTCAGAAATGCTAGATGAGGCTGAAGTTGTAATTTGTTTTCCATTACCACTTTTCCTGCCCTGGTGAGGTAAAAATCCGGTTCTGGTATGTAAGAAGGGAGGGGACGATGACACATGGACAGACAGGACAGGCTGCTTTTTGTAACACATCTGAGCTGCAGAAAACAGTGATAGCTGGGACTGAAAACTTTCCAAGAAGACTTAGGTAGCTTTCTTACAGAAGGCTTACTTAAGGTGGCCTTGATAGATAAAAGGAACTCCTGGAAACTTGCCTGTGATGACAAAATGGAGGGGTATTGACTAACAGAGAAGTGAGAGAAGTGTTTGAACTTGGGTGGTTTTTACTGTGCTCATTTTTTTTCTCTTGGAAGTAACTGAAAACTGTAATGGTGTCCAGAGTGCTTGGAGGCTCTCCATTTAAGGGCTTGTCTTCTGAATCAGCCTTTTCTGGATGTTGCTCCTTAAAGGTGGCTGTTGGCTTTCTCTGAAAACTGAACCCTTACAGTTCACGTTGCTGGGGAATTCGGTCCTATGTTAGGCTTGTTAGGATGCAGGCAAGTAAAACCAGTGTCAGCTGCATCCACCTCTCACTGGAGAGCCCATTTGCAGTTCCAGATCCTTTACAGGAAGGGTGCAGAAGTTTAACATGGAAATACTGGTGGAGAGAAACTTCAGGCAAACTGTTTGGAGGCATTTAAGGAATCTGAGGATGAAGCAGCATGCTTTGTAATCATGTTTGTATGGCAGCTGCAACCTTCCACTGCTGTTGAGCTCAGGGTGGGGAAAGGAGCCTCAGAAGATAGAGGTGTTTAAATGAATCCCAGCCTAGAAGGACCCTTGCACAGAGACTAGTGCTTGACTTCAGACTTGTTTCAGTTTGTGCAGTCTTTACCAATTTGCTGTATAGCAGAGGAAGAGAAACTTGAGGTTTTTCTTTTGAAGGGGCAGTTAAAAAGGAAAAAAAAAAATCCTCTGAATCAGATGTAAAACTTCAGTATTGACATTCCTTTGGGGCAGTGAGGAGTGAGCTTTTGTTCCTCCTGAAGCTGCTGTCCTGAACTGGCAGGAGGACAGACTAGCTGTAGGTTGCCATTAATCTTGATATAAAAGCTGCCCTGCTGTGTATCTGCAGCAGGTCTGGCTCACCTGTCAGACATTTGTCTTTTACCATGTGTTAGTTAACCCAGCTGCTTCTGTCGGTGCTTCCTGTGGGGCACTGCCAGCGGGTCTCAGTCCTGTCACCTCGTGCAGGAGTCTCAGGTTCATGGTTGGGAGTCTCTTCAGATGTGCTGCAGTTCTCTTACATCTGGTGCCTAATATTTTGCTCTTTTTAATAATTTTATGTTGCCATTTGATAATGCTCTAATGTGAGGACTGTTTAAAAGAGTTGTAATGAAGTAAAGATTATATATATAAAATACAGAGATTTGGCCCTCTTGCAAATGAAAAGCAGCATCCACTCTGGTGCCTGAGCCCAGCTCCTGCAATTGGCTGTGCCCATGTTTTTCCCGTTCTGCAGTGTCAACACGGTTGCTATGAAAACAGGCATAAACAATGGCACAGTGAGTGCCAGCTGCTGCCAGCAGAGCCGGCACTGCTCAGCCCTGGCTGTCCTCAGAAGAGGCTGGAAATCTTGAACACTGAAATGAAGCAGAGAACACCGAGTTATCTGTGAAATCAAGTGAATCTCTCTAAGTGCTCCAACAACCAGTCGTTTGAACTTTGTTTAGATGTGTTTAAGGCCTTCTTGCAGCTTTTCACTCCTAACCCTAATCTGGCCATCTTTCATTTTGAGGGCAAAATCCATCAATCGGTCCAGCTGGAAGTTAGATGTGGGATTAGAGATGACATGCTAGAGTATGTACCTCTTGTATTTTAAATTCTCACCCATCTGCTGTGGTTGGAATAACTATTTCTGTGCAGAAGACCATCAGAGAGAGAGGAACTGTTTCAAGGGAGGAGTGGATAAAAAGCCACAATAAATTTATGGAACATTGGGGTACTTTGGAAATAGCTAAATAACAATTCATGTTTAGATGCACACTGTTTTCAAGAGATAATTCTTGTTTCTTCTGGAGGTCGTGTGTTGTTCTACTGCTCCTGTAGTGGCTTTCTTCAAAACTCAGCTTTTGGGATATTCCTGTAATCTGGGATGCTGGAGGTCTAGGAGGAGGGGAATAATTTTGTAACATAAATAGACTGTAGGGTTACAGGGGGATTTCCTTGAAGGGGGATCAGGTAAACTGTGAAACATGCCAGATAATGATTCTACTTCTGTTGGGTAAAGAATAATGAATTGGGAGAGAGTATGTGAGATATTTAAACTCCAGGAAACTTCATCAAAACAAAGCTTAACATGCGTATTTTTATACCAGTCTTATACTTGTCTTCAAGCATGCTTTAAAAAAGACTTCAGTTTAAATGTGTAGCTTCCTTGTTCTTTTCTTTCTGGCTCTGGAGGTGTTGTGTGGGTGTCCTGCAGCTCAGGGGAGGTGTGGCAGTGTGAGCACAGTCTAGAACCTGCCCTGTGCACTGTGGGCTGTGCAGGCTGGCTCTGCTCATGCAGTACTGACCTCCATGCCCAGTTGGCCTTTTATGTAGTTGGCAAGTGTCTGCTGTCCTAACATCTTAAAGCATTTTCTTTCATGTATACCTGGAGTGGAATATGCATCCTGACCTGTAGGTTGATTACAAGCTGTAGTTTTGCATTTCAGAGTTAAAGTGCTGTTTAGGTCATAAAAGACCTAAAAATCTTCAAATGATAAGCTAAAGGGCTTTTGAATACTTCAGGTTTATTACTGCCTATTCTTATACTTGGTTTCCAGTCAGTAAAGGTAGTAGCTGCCAGGCAGGGTCCTTCAAGAGAAAATGTAACAACTACCAGGAGGAAAAAACTCGTAGAGATTAAATTTAACTCTCAGTAACAAGGAAGAATGTGCTTTACTGAAAGGGATAATAACATTAAGGCTGCTACTACAGTAGTTTAAGAGATTTCCTTCTCTTTTTCCCTCTACCTGAACATTTTGGAATTTCTTGAAGTAAAGGGTGGCTACAAAATAATTAGAGAAAATGTTACATAGCATACTATCTGTTCAAAGCTGCCTTACTCAAAGCAAAGTGGAGCCTTGTTTCAAACTTGTATCCTCTGCAGTGGTTTCAGTGGTCATGATCAGATACTGTACAAGAAAGTACTGACTTACCTGGAAGTCCTGTATAGTTCGACTGCCTTTGATGAGGGGCTGGGAAACCTCTCAAGCTCTCATTTTAATGTAGCTTTTGGCTGGGGGAGCAGAAGGTGCTCAGAAATGTCTTTCTTGTTCAGACAGGTGATCTGCAGCCATGAGCAGCAACGAGTGCTTCAAGTGTGGCCGTACTGGCCACTGGGCCCGGGAGTGCCCCACTGGGATGGGCCGTGGCCGTGGGATGAGGAGCCGCGGCAGAGGTGAGTGGTGGCTGTGCTGTGCTGTTTCTTTGGACAGCAGAACTCCAGCTGGCTGCTATGTGCAGTGAATAAACCAGGCTCTGGCAGACTCAAGTCAAGAAGTTGAGAATCAAAGTGGTAATAAGAACCAGGGAAATTTGTCTCTACCTAAGAGTTTGGCCAGGTGCTCTGAGAGTGAAGCAAGCTTGTCAATTCGGTGTGTGATTGATTCTTAAAAGTATTCTGAACTTAATACTTACGGCTGTTTTTTTTTTCTTTTACCCTTTTCAAGCAGGCTTTCAGTTCATGTCTTCGTCTCTGCCGGATATCTGTTACCGCTGTGGTGAGTCTGGCCATCTTGCCAAGGACTGTGACCTTCAGGAGGATGGTAAGTATCACTAAATATTCCATCTCTTCAGTGCCACAGGGAGAGCTCTGTGGTTGAAGAGAAGGGTGCTGGGGTTCCCTGGGAACAAGCTGTGCATGTGCCCTGTTCATAGCATGCTGCCCCTCACGCTACCAAGGTTTTATAGTCTTGTTTGGTATGTTTTCTTATTGTGGAAGCCTGCTATAACTGCGGTAGAGGTGGCCACATTGCGAAGGACTGCAAGGAGCCCAAGAGGGAGAGGGAGCAGTGCTGCTACAACTGTGGCAAGCCCGGCCACCTGGCCCGTGACTGCGACCACGCAGACGAGCAGAAGTGCTATTCTTGCGGAGAGTTTGGGCACATTCAAAAAGACTGCACCAAAGTGAAATGCTATAGGTAAGGACTGACAGGAGACAGCTGTGAGAGGCATCTCTGGTTTTGGTTAGGAAATACAGTTGGTTTGAGCAGTTACTCACTGTTGTTCAAAACTAAGGCTTGAACACTTAAAAACAAGGTGGAGTAGAGTCCATGATGTATCTCTAGATGGCCGCCCAGTGCAGGTGTTGAGTCACTTGAGCTGTACAGAAGGGGTCGTGTCCTTTTGCAGAAGGTAGCAGGATGTACTCAGCTGTAGCACAGAGGCAGGTACCCTGTGTCTTCTGCCAGAGCTAACAAACCCCAGCTGTACTGCCCAGCTGACTGGCACAGCCAGCCCCTGCAGGAACACACTGAAGATGCTTTGGTTATGGGAACAGTGGATAGAAGTGGGTGTTAAATTGGTTTGAAATGCCATCTTCTTCAGAGTGTTGTCTGGTTTTTGAATGCAGGCATATACCAGAAACAGCACGTTCCTGAGAGCAGTATTCTTCACCCCCACCAACATTCCCTTCTGTGGAGGAAGGAGAGAAAACATGGTGTATTTGAATTAAAACTAATTCTTCTCAAAACAAGGCTAAACAGCAGGCCATGAGCATTGGGAACAGGCAAAACCCATCACACAATTGGGAAAAAATGCTGCCAGCACACAAAGCTGATGTACAGCGATTCTGGCACATACGGTGACTAATGTGAGTTGGTCATTTGGGAGCAGTTCATGGCTCTGCTGAAGACAGACTGATACAGAGAATTCTGGAACAGAAGCCTTGAATGCAGAACTAGCGTTGCATGAAACTGAAGTAGGCAATCTCCTGGACAGAGTAGGAGTGCTCCTGTGAGTGTTGTGGCTGTTCTGACAGAGCCTTTGCTTTTGCAGGTGTGGTGAAACTGGCCATGTAGCCATCAACTGCAGCAAGACCAGCGAAGTCAACTGCTACCGCTGCGGCGAGTCAGGGCACCTTGCACGGGAATGCACAATTGAAGCTACAGCCTAATTATTTTCCTTTGTCGCCCCTCCTTTTTCTGATTGATGGTTGTATTATTTTTCTCTGAATCCTCTTCACTGGCCAAAGGTTGGCAGATAGAGGCTACTCCCAGGCCAGTGAGCTTTACTTGCCGTGTAAAAGGAGGAAAGGGGTGGAAAAATCAACTTTCTGCATTTAACTACAAAAATGTTTATGTTTAGTTTGGTAGAGGTGTTATGTATAATGCTTTGTTAAAGAACCCCCTTTCCGTGCCACTGGTGAATAGGGATTGATGAGTGGGAAGAGTTGAGTCAGACCAGCAAAAACCCTCTCTGGGTTACAGGGAAGTGATCCTATGCAGGAGGAATGAAATTCTGGAAGTGTCTAAACTTCCTCATAACTTTTATTTTATTACAATGGCCTTGGATTGTCTGACCTCAGTAGCTGTTAACACCAAGTGATATCTGCATCAGGCCCTACCTAGAGCATATAGCTGAGTGGGAGTAAACAAACAAGATGCACATGCCTGTTAATGGCCATGAGAGAGAGAGAGAAATCTGAAATAAACCTAAAAGTAACAGTAATTCAGTCAGTGAATGTTAATGTTGAAGATACAGAACGCAATGGGAAGCTTTTGAATAAATATCTCAAAGTCAATCTGAAACCCAGACATCAGTGCTTATAGCATAAACAATTTGGAGCTATTCAGGAGTTGCAAATAAATGCATTTTCACAGAAATCAAGATGTTATTTTTGTATACTATATCACTTAGACAACTGAGTTTCATTTGCTTGTAATCGGTTTTTAAAGTAAGATGGTAAGAGCAATTGAAGTCCTAGAACATAGAAAATGTAATTTTAAACTATCAATAAAGCTGGAGGAGGAAGGGGAGTTTGGCTAAAGTTCCTTTTGTTTATTTTTTGTTTTCCTGTACACAGTGCAAAACATATTAAAAGGGGTATGTGGAGGTTCAGTTTGGCCTTTTCTTTTCTGCTGTCTCACCTTAAGGTCCTGTCTGCACATGTTCATGGGAGTGGGGGCTGGTTACATCTGTGCTGGTGCACTTGAAGCATTTAATAGAAAAACCACTAAGGGAGGAGGTTGCTGGAGGTGCAGGGAGTTCCAAACTCTGAGTAGGTTTGAGCTGTCAGAGTGGCACTGAGAACTTAAAACATCTGCACTTGCCCTGTCCCCTGGTGCCTGTGCTGGTTCACTGAGGGTCAACGACCAGCTGAGAAATGAGCTGATGTGAGGATCTTCACAGGCACTCAGTGAGTAAAGTCTTGGTGTGCAGGAGCTCTTGGCTGCCGGTGCTTCACCCTAAGGCAACTGGAGAAGGGGTGTGCTGACCCCTCATATGAAGACTGGGCTTTGCCCGGAGTACCTCTTAGCTGCTGGCTCTGCTCCAGCTGTGGCAGATCCCGTGGAATCTGCAGGGATGGTGTGCTGGACTCGGCTCGTGTCCAGCTTGTCACTAGAGGTTTTCCTTTCCAGTCCCAGGGGCTGTAGCAGTGGGACTGCTGTAGCAGTGATGTAGCTGTGGTGTCTGTCCCTGCAGGGAGAAGGAGCAGACTGGCAGTCTGCAGCTGTGCTGGAGACAGCTGAGTTGGCACTGGCACTCGTATCTCTTGTTATTATTACAGTTACAGTCAGGGTAACATTTCCAGTAATCTTGGAAGCAAGGGTGAAATGTCTGGATTCTCCTGAGGTAGTGGAGATGCACAATGCATTGTGGTTCAGCCTGCTAGGTTGGGAAAAAGTCTTTGCACACAATTATGTTAGTTAAACAGCAGAAAAGTTTAGATCTCTGGTTACTAAGTCTTTGGGATTTAAATGACAACTACATAGTGGTGTTTTCCTCTAAAAATATGTTTTTATATAAAGAAAACAAGATTTAATAGCTGAGGAACACAAACCAGGCTGTAAGTTCCAGAAGGAGAAAATTGCTTCAAAAGGAGATGTCTGTTCCTTGGTCATCTTTCTGTGAGAACATCGGTGCTGCTGTTCGTAGTCAATTTCTCCCAGGTGAACAGGAGCTGGACAAGCAGGTGGTTTCAGACATTGTGGGACACGGGGGAAAAAACAATTCTTTGTATGTTTTGTTTTGTTTTTTTCACTAATACTGAGGCATCTCCTCATTCGTTACGGCAAACTCATGAACTGGTTAGAAGGACTGTTCGTTGGGAACTGAGTGACCGGACAAGGGGGAATGGGTGCAAACGGAAAGGGGAAATTTAGATTATGTTAGAAGGAGCTTTTTCCCTGTGAGGGCGGGCGGGCAGGCCCTGCCCCATGGCCCCTGGCAGTGTCGGAGGCGGGCTGGCCGGGGCTGGGGGCAGCGGTCGGGGCCGGTGCCGCGGCAGGGCTGGCACTGCGCGGTCCCCCCGCCCCGGGGCCGCTCCCGCCTGATCCCCGCGGGCCCGCCAGCCCAGCAGCGCGCATGCGCAGCGCGGCGGCACCGAGCCCTGCGCGGGCGGGGCGCGCAGGCGCACTGGGGAGCGGGGCCGGGTTCACTTCCGGGGCTGTGGAGCTGCTGGGAGCCCTGCGCGTTCGGCGGGACTGAGGGGCTGAGGGCACGGCGGGACCATGGTGAGTGCGGGACTGGGGCTGTGAGGGGCTGAGGGCACGGCGGGACCATGGTGAGTGCGGGACTGG